TCTTCTTGGTTGTTTGGAATAGTCCATGTTCACTAATTTTTACATTATGAATCTTTTCTATGGCTTACTGAATTATGTTGGATACTGTATTATGCTGATTTACTGGTGTTGAATTCTTATGTTTATCTTAGAAAGTCCTTTCTTTTTTCTCCTCAGATCTGTGGATTCTGGATAGAGTTATCTTGGTTGGCAGTTATTTTCTTTCAGGGTTTGAAATTCTTTATTCCATGTGCTTCTGCCTGGCTTTTAGAATTTCCACTGAGAATCTACTTTTATACTAATGGATTTGTGACTATAAATTACTGGGTGCTTCTCTTTTGTAACTTTTAATACTCTTGCTTTGTTGTTTTCCTTGGCAACTGACCTATAGTTTGTTCAGGAGAGGTTCTTTTCTGGTCATGTCCCCTTGAGGTTCTAAATGACGCCTGTATGGAGATGTTCATGTTTGAAGATTGGGAAATTTTTCTGACATTGGTTCACTGAATAAGTTTTCTATTTTTTTTAATTAGTTTTTGAAAATCTCATGTATGTGGTCATTGTATCTTGATCATACCAGTCCCTCACCCTCCTTTTAACTTTCTCCGAGAACCCATTGCACTGTCGCTATTATTCACTCTGTTTTAGTGGCTCTCAGAGGCTTGTCTCTTAATGATACCCCGTGTATTTTGTATGTCCTATTTCTAATTATTATTTTTATTATTGTTCATGTGTGATCTGTGGGTCTGGGCATTTGTGTGCCACAGCATGTATAAGGTTAGAACCAAGCTTTATGAAGTCTGTCTTTATGTAATTGTTTGGTATAGATTCTAGAGGTCAGATTCAGGTCCTCAGATACCTTTACCTTCTGAGTCATCTTGCTGTCCCCTTTTGTTTATTTTACTTTTCTCTTTTTTATTTTTTGAATATAGTACTATATCTCCAAGCCTAAGTAGTCCTTCACTATGTAAGTCAGTTTATAGATGAAGGTTTAAACTGAGATTTTTGTTTCATTGAGCTTTTAGTTTTCAGTATTACTGTTTTATTCTTTTTCAGAATCTCATGATTGAATTGCTCTTTCATATCCTATATTATATTCCTTAATTCAGTCCGCTGTTTATTTGTATTCTCTTTAAATTCATTCATCATTTTTAAAATCTGTCTTTTGCATTCTTTGTCTAGCGTATCGTTCATTTAGATTTTTTTGGAGTTATCTACTAGGAAATTACAGACTTTTTGGAGGATTCATGTTGACTTATTTTTCATGCTACTTGTGTTTCTGTGATTAAATTTATACCTCTGTAGGGATGTATAATGTAAAGGATGTCTTTCTTATGCTTTTAATGTTTTTATTAGCACATATTATAATATTGATGATTTATTAGCATGTATTTTAATATTGATAATAGTTCATGTATGCATATACTGTTGCAGAGAGAGGCACACAAAGAGTGCACACTGATAAGTTCTTCACTTGTCAGCAGTGTGTATTCTGAAAGGGTGTGGAAACCATCCATGTGAAATCCATAGGTGCTGTTTCTCTGGTTATTTTTCTCTGTTGTTCCTACGTGGTCACTGTCTAGGAACAGGACTCTAAGCTCCCTCTAGTTGTGCCATCTTGGGGCTAGATTGCCAACAGGGAGTTGCGTAATCTTTATCTATAGTATCTGGAAAGATTTGGCTGGGATTAGGTCATGAGTACAGTAATGTGCAGTATTTCCCAGCTGGGATGGTGTGTAGCTCAGCAACAAAGCACTCTGCGAAAGTCTTTGAGGTGCTGGCCTCAATCCCTGGTGGTGTCGAGAGTGGAGAAAACAAGGCACAGTGACTGTATGGGTTCAAATCAGATATACAGTATATGAACCAAGAAAGAACAACTGTAGTACCAATGAGAGTGGACAAGAAAGGGCTAAAACAGTACAGATTTAAAATGTTAAAAATGAATCAAGTGAGGAAGTGGAAGAAGAAAGATTTGTGGAAAATGGAAGCCATGTCAAAGAGAAGGAAAACCAATTAAAAATAAATAAAATTAGATAAGAGCAAGAAAATACTGAACAAAATGGAAGTGTTTGAGAAGGCCTTGTCAACGGCCTTGGGTTGGAGCGGCTTCTAGATCATCTGCTAACTGGAGATGAGTGGGCATGGGTGGGGCTGGCACAGCAGGCTTGCTGTAGGACATCTAAGGCCAGCAGGGTTGTCTGTGCTCACTCACCCCACAGCTTACTGCATTTGTACCACAGCCCCTATCATCTGCAGAATTTGTGTATCAGAGGGCATGGTAAATGTCCACCTGCAGTCTATTTCTGGATGCCTGAAGGAGGGGGAGGAGCAAAGTCCACTGATTTCTATCCTGAGTAGGTTGATGCTGGGGATGGGGAGAGAATGGGGGTGTAGCCAGCACCTTTCTGCCTTGGTGTCAGCACTCAGGCATGACCAGGCTGAAGCACATGCAGTTGTTTCTTTTGAGGGCAGGACACCTGACTGAAGTTCCCCCTAAGGTTCTCACTCTCTGTTGTTAAAGCCTCTTGTTAGGGTTGTGACAGAATCTCTCTCCCCATTTTACAACTGCAACTTGTCCCTGCCACAGTGGCAGAGTGGCCCCAGGAACCCTGACTGGTGATTGCCATAAGTGTTCTGATGTGGTAGTTTGGTTCCTAAAAGATAGGAGCCTTCTCCAGGTGGCACCTCATTGCCACACGCTGAGACATGGTGTGCTATGCAGGGGGCTTGGCTTTCTTTTCTAACGCTGTCTTGTCATGCAGGTGTCATTTTGAGATGTTTTTAAGCCTTGTGGGAAATGTGGGTTTGCCTTCTGTTAGGGCTGCGTTTCCCACCACCTTGCTTGTAAGGCATTGGGTCCTCCTGACTCCCTCTGTCGGGCAGCTCTGAGCTGGGGAATGCTTGCATTTTGAGTTCCCTTCTTCATGCTGCTTGCTTTTCCTGCCTTCCCGTGACTCCTGGAGTGTTTCTCTTCTTGAAATAGGAGTTCTTCTTTGCTGCCCAGATGTTGTTCATGTAGTCAAGTGAGGGTTCTTCTTCCACAGTTTGACCGCACAGTTCCTTTTCTACTTTTAAAATATATATGTATTTCCTTTTTTCTAAGAAATATTCTGCAGTAAGAGGGCTTTTGCTTTTAACTTGAACTGTAATTAATTTTATCTCTTTTACCTTAAATTCAACTAAATTTTTACAGAATGAAAGCACGGAGCACACTGCGCACAGTAGGAGATAGCTAAGTGAGCATGCCACTCAAGAGTCTGAGTTTGCTTTAGGAGTTCTGTTAGCTACCTCTCCACAGAGGTGGCCTAAGAATATCTGCATAGCAGATATTACCTTACAGTTCATCACAGCAGCGAAATTACAGTCATGAAGTAGCAGTGACTTGGAAAGGGGCAGGGAGGAGACCAGGGAGGGAGTGTGGGGTTGGGGAGGGAATGAGGGAGCGGGATACAGCTGGGACACAGAGTTAACAAAATGTAACTAAAAAGAAAAAATAATAAAAAAAATAAAAAAAATAAATAAAGTAGAGATAATAATGCTTGACTGAAAAATTATTTTAGAAGTTGAACACTGACACTTTGTGTAGAAATTCCCAATGTCAAGAGTTTATGGTTCATTCAGAAATAAATGTCTTCTCCTTAAAAAAAAAAAAAAAGTAGCAGTGAAAATAATGTTATGGTTGGGGTCATCACAACAGGAGGAACTGTATCAAAGGGTCGCAGCATTGGGAAGGCTAAGAACTACTGCTCAACAAGAGAATGTCTGACCCTGAATTACCCACAAGAGTGCTGGAGGCTATTGTTGCACTTCTGGGAAGGGCAGACATGTCTTTTCAAGAGGTGTTACTCACTGTTTCTGGTTCTTCCTATTCACACTGGCCTCAGCATTTTGCTCTGAAGGTCTGAAGATAAGTTTTGATATGATATAAGGGTGTGTGTGTTTATTATAGAAATATTCATGTGAAGGAATGAATCCATTTTATGTAGACATAATTATTTAGCCCATGAATACCTATTAATTTTGTGTATTAAATTATCTTTGAATCTAAATCAGAGGATATGTCTAACTCAGTATGTGTACATGTAGAAGTAGTTCATCATCAATTCAAACTGCTAAAGTACTGAGTCTCACTTTCTTTTCCATAAATAAATGTAATAATATTTATTATAGAAGACTGATATAAAGACAGAATAAGGTAATACATGGAAAATATACTGATTACCACTTACACTACCAAAATGCAGTTAATGTATGATATATGTAATACATTACTTCAGCTTTCTCTAAAAACAATGCTAATGAAACAGTTCTTTTCAGTTCCAGAATTGCAGATGAGAAAATAGATGGTGTGAGCTGAAGAATTTTCTGAGTTATAGATAAATGGGCAAAAGAATGCAGCTATGTGTTTTTCTGCAAACAGAAAGTGTGATCTTTCACAAAAGCATACTTTCCCTAGGACATGATAAATGCTCATTGGTTTAGTCCTTTTTATTTTTCCTGACTTTTTGCTTAACTTCCCTCCACCCTCCATTTTAAGAAATAAGGTTGCATGGTGTGTTGTTGCACGCCTTTAATCCTCAAGAGGCAGGCAGGTCTCCAAGTGAGTTCAAGGACACCCAGGTCTACACAGAGAAACCCTATCTTCAAAGAAATAAGACTATAGACATACACTTTTCAAGAGTACTAGCTTTCCTGCCCAAGCTCACAGCCTTATTCATAGCTGTGTTCTTCACACCTACTTCATTGACTCTTACATCACACACAGTTGTGTCTAGTTTCCTGCATACTCACTTGGAATATTGAAATGTTTTCTGTGTCATCCAATGGAAAATAAAGTAGTCACGTTTCTGTTTAGCATTTGCTATATGGCTAGCGCAACCAAGGAACTGAAATTATATCTTAGAGTAAATTACGGGTGCTGCTGTCTTGAATTTTGCCAAAAGCTTTAGATGCTTGAATGGTCTTTGGGTCTGTGCCATCAGCACTTTCAGTGTGTTGACTAATAGTGATGCCCTTCCTTCCAGGCTGAAGACCTTAGCAGAAGAGCTTACACAGACACAGCAGTTGCTCTTAAGCAAGGAGGAGGCAGTCCTAGAGCTAGAGAAGAGGATTGAAGAATCTTCTGAGACCTGCGAAAAGAAGTCTGAGTGAGTAATAGGAAAACCATCTGAAAGAGCACAGTTTAATTGATGCATTTTTACTGAAATGCCTGCTATGTGCTGGTATGGGCATGGCATTTCCAGAAATGGCAGTTTTCATGTTGAAATGATGAAATTTCACATGACTCTGGAAAACTGTTTCTGTGGTTCTGTAAAATGTGATGGCTCATTTTCATGTCAACTTGACACAAACTAGAGTCATTTGGAAATGTAAGCAAAATAAACACTTTCTTTCCTAAGTTGATTTAGTTCGTAGTTTCATCATAATGTTAGAAACCCTGACTAAGACAGATTCTTCATAAAACAAACAAACAAACAAACAAACAAACAAACAAAAAACTGGTCCAGTGTTTGTAAATGTAATGCCCTGATCACGTCTTAATGTTTTAAAAGTTTGAAATGTTTCATGAAGGATCCTTTGTTAAAAGCTGCCTTTTTTTTTTTTCTCAACATCTATATTTTTTTTAATGATACTTACTGTAGGCCCCTTTGTATAAAGGGGGGTAGAGAAGTATTCTCTAGAGATTGCCTGATGTTACATTAAAAGGCAACCAAATAAACTAATTAGATTATACTAATCTACTTTGCATATAAAGATCAGTTTCAGATTTACTTTGCAATTTTTGCTTTCCTGGTGTTTGTGTTGCTGATTTCTAACTTGAAAATACTTTTCTGGGTCTTCTGATTTTACTTGTTTTAGTACATTTCTGGCTTTTCTTTTTTCTTTCTTTTTTTTTTTTTTTTTTTTTGAGATGTGTGTGAAAGCCAGAGTACAATGTCATTTGTCTTCCTCAATTGCTCCTCAGCTTATTTTAGAGGCAGGGTCTCTCATTGGGCTGTAACTTGATGATGTAACTAGATGGGCTGGCTGACAAACCCCAGGGATTCTCTTGTCTCCCTGGCAGTGAGATTATAGGTGTTTGTATGCTTGGCCTTAGAGTTTTGTTTTTCATTTTCATTTATTCTTTAGTAATCATATGCATGAATACAATGTATTTAAATCATACCAACACTACTTGTCTCCTCTCTGACTCCCCGCCACTACCTCATGCCCTCCCATCTTCATGTCTTTTCTTTGTTGCTCTCCTCTGCCTTTTATTCTCCCCCTCCCACCCACGCAAGTGCTGCCAGTGTGTGCATCGGTGTAGGGCACCACCCTCGGGGAGCAGCAGGGAAGCCTACCACACTGTGAGGAAAACTGACTCTCCCTTTCTCTGCAGCCCTCAATTGCCAATATTTCCTTAGGTAGGTGTGCAGCCTTCTTTCTCTCTGCTGGAGTTTGGACCGGCTTGATCTTGTGTGGGTCTTGTGTTGTCGATCACAGCTGCTGTGAGATCATGAATGTTCAAAGGACATTACTTGGTAGCAGTCTTCCTGGCTTTTGACTTAAAATATTTTCACTCCCCCTTCTGCAGTGTTCTCTGAGCCTCGTGGGGAAAGTGTGTGATCTAGACGTCCTGTTCAGGACTGAGCATTCCAAGTTAACAACCACCCACTGCATAAAGAGGCCTGCTTGGTGATGGGTGGGAGTTGTGCTTGTCTGTAAGGATAGTTACTTAGGGGCACTTTAATTCTGTGCCTATTTAGCAGACTCCTAGTAGTGCCTGTGACCTTATCAGCCACAGGTTCTCGTTCTCGATTATAATATCAGGCATGAGTTTCCTCCTGTAGGACAGGTCTTAAATGCAATTAGAAAGTTGTTCATCTCCCAAAAGCATTCATGCCACTCTCGCACAGAAAAGTGTATCTTAAGATATCAAGTCAGTCATTATTGTAGTTTGCAAGGTTCAAAAGCTGTGTCAGACTGTTGATAGCTTTTCTCCCCTAACAACCTGCAAAGCTAGCAGGTAGGAAGGAAGCTCTTAGGTCAGTACCAGCTTAATCTCTCCATGTTCTATGATCAAGGTATGTGGTGTCTTTAGCAGTAGGGTCATATTATCAAGTTCCAGGGGGGCAACCAAGATCAGTGGCAATAACCTATTTTTTGTGAATGCTGGGGATTGAACTCAAGACCTCATGCTTGGGTGCAAGGACTTTACAAATTGAGCCATCTTCCTAACCCTGTTCCCTCTCTCTCTCTCTCTCTCTCTCTCTCTCTCTCTGCGTGTGTGTGCGTGTGTATTGTATACACGCACACATGTATATGCATATGGGGACCAAAGTTCAATGTTAGGTATCCTCGGATTTTTTTCTTTTCTTTTTTCTTTCTTTTATTTTTGGAGTCAGACTCCTTCATTGAACCCCTGAGCCCACTACTTTGGGTATGTTGGCTGACCAATGAGCTCCAGGATCTTTTGTGTCTCCCTTCCTCCCACCTAGCACTGAGCTTCAAATGCTCACCAACACACCTGGCTTTTATATGGGAGCTTGGGCTGGAACTTAATTCGGACGTTTGCATGGAGGGCACGCCAACAGCTGCACCCTCCACTCACCCTGCACCTTACTAATAGCTGTGATGACTTAAAATTGCAATATATACTGCTGTGCTTGCTCTAGTCCTACCTGCTCTCGTACTCTCACAAGTGCTTTGAATTTTCAAGGCTCTTGGGTTTTGTGATTTGTTAGATCTCCCTCATCTACACCCGCTCTTATTTTTATTATAACTTCTCAGATATTCTCGACTTCTGTCAAATTTCTGATCTTCTCACTTCCTTTGCTGTAGTCAGATGAATGTCGATATCACAGAAAAACGTAAAGCTTTAAATGGCTTTGTCCTTATTTTGGGGAACTAGATGCCCGAATTTACTCTCCCCCTTACTACCATCCTTAATGCCTATTTTTTGATATCTTTTATTTTTCCAGAAATTTTGTGTTATTTTGTATGTTATATTTTACGTTTTCCTCCCAACAGGGTCCGTATGCTCAGTTTTTAAATATTGACTCCAAATCCCCCTTTGAGGTGCTGGGAACAGTACTCAGGGCTGACACCTGCCGGCAATGGTCGACGCTCGCTCCCTTGTACCTCCAGCTCGGAAAACCCTTTTTTATTCTCCGCATCTCCTTCCGCTTACTCTTTGGCTCTGAGTTTGAACTCATCTTAGTAGTAATTCTTACTCCTTTTCTGAATTACCATTTAGTTCTCAACTCACACATACCTAGCTTTTGCCCCATTACTATAGAAGTCAGAAAGAATCTCAAAGTTTACTCGTGGCCTGTAATAGGGAAGCTAAATTTGGCAGCTTTCTTTCTGGTCCTCTTGATCACATCTGACAGGCTTTTCTATTCCGTGTTCCTTCTCTCCTCCTCGGCAGCCCTCCTATTCTGTTCTTTTCTTTGAAAATTTCACCACCTTCAGTTCGCGGTGCTGCCTCACACGTGCGTGAGGGCGTGTGCCGTTAATGGCTCCGCAGGTTGGCTGCTCTGTAGCGCTGGGACGTTTGGCCGCAGGCAACATGGCAGTCCCGTAGCTGAGGCCTGTCCAGGCAGGGCACCCTGGAATAGAGGTACCCAGAGGTAGGGGTGGAGCTGGCCTCGGACGTTATCCTCCTGCGGAGGCCTTGCAGGGTCATAGAATTTGTAGGAGTTAGAAGGGTTAGCAGGGCTAGGTTTTCAGAGTGAAGCCAATCACATAGCCTTTGTCACCCCAAGTTCTTATTGTTAGCTTTGGGCCATAATATGAGAATTAAAATATGAAATGTATTTATGGGACAAAACAGTTGTTTTGTTACTGCGCTCACTGATTCAGAAATTGGTGTATTGAATTTTGCCTTCATATTTATATGTTAAAATCTTTTGCCAAACAAATATTCTGAATAGGATTTCATGATGGTACATTTATGTTTTTTCCCTTAATATTTTCTGGGCTTGTCTTTAGATTGTTCCTCTCATATCTATCTTTCTTTCTATCTATCCATCCATCCATCCTACTTATCAACTTACCATTTATCTATCCTTTAATCATATACCCATTTACATATAGACTTAAATGTCTATCTCTGTACTTAAATACACATATGTAATGAGGATAATTTTTGCACTAGCTTAAAACATTATCTTACAATTATTTTTAGGGCCAGCTGTGGTCATAATTGTCCAACCTGTTTTTTTTTTTTTTTTTTTTTTTTTAGAAAAAGCGTTATCTTTATTTTTGTAATACTTTATTATATTCATATTCTTTGTTACTTGAAAGTAATAAAATGATAAAATTACATTTCTTCAAAAATACTATTTTTATGTTCATATTTCTGACTTATTTCTAAATAATAGAATCTGAATGGATTTTTACTTAATAGAATTATTTGTCCCATCAACATACAGTAGGGTCTTAAATTAAATCTTTGGGTTTAATATGTGCTTCTAAATTGCTAATATTTGCAGCTTCTGAAGGAAATTGAAAAGCTTATCCCTGGATTATGTAGGAACTGAGGTTGCCTGCTATGAAAACACATAGACTTATTGCCTTATAGTTTTTTTGGGTAGTTAATAATATGATGTTTTCAGACATTCTTACTGTTATTTTACCCTCTTCTTCTACAAAAATACCATTGTGTTTTGTGTTGGCCCTGCTCTGGTGTGCCATGATATTATATACCCAGTGAGACTTTACTGGTGAAAACTAAGTTTTCCTTTGCAGGCAGGTTACCAATTGTAAGATACCTTCTTAGGGGTGACCCTGTCTGCCTTGAATCTGTCCAGGTCCCCATGAGTGCTATATGAGTGAGTTTTTGTGAGTTTTACTATAAATACACAGCTAAAAAGTTTTTATTTATTTGTTTGTTTGTTTGTTTGTTTGTATTGAGACAGGTTTTCTCTGTGTAGCCTTGGCTGTCCTGGACTCAAGTTTGTACACCAAACCGGCCTCGAACGCACAGAGGTCTACCTGCCTCCATCTCCCAGAGTGCCAGTTAAAGTGTTTTATTTGGCTATTTGGTTAACATTTACCCTTTGCAACTATTATCCTCTTTATATGTGTAGTTATCTGCCTTTAGATATTTTCTTTCCATCCCTGCTAGCCTTTATGTAAGACTGTTGATAACAGTCCTTTCAGAGGATTATTTTTAAGTATACCACATAATTTTGCCTGCATGTGATAAATCATTCATTGAATAATCTTCTGGTTGTATATGAAAATGTGTTATGACATCTTACCTGATATATTTAGAACTATTTCTTATACTGTTGTCACAGTTGTGATTCTGTGGTACTTTGTTTTTGGTGTATGTTAGGAACTCCCCCCTCTTTCCTCCCTCCACTAAGTTCAAAATGTGTAAGCAGATATAATTTTTTCCAAGGTTTCCTGATTTAATGATGGTTTTAAAAATTAACATTCTTTGAATAGATCTTCTGAGAAATAGAAATGCCAATTTATTGCAAAAAAGCAATTACCAACTAATACGCAAGCCAGCATGAATTTACCAAGAAATCTGTACAGATCTTAAAAATAGGTCACAGATTACTGGATGAGGATGATATGCATGGTAATTATAACTTATTAAATTCTGATGTTTAGAGCAATCTGTCTTCTGGACATTTCTAGGTCTTCTACAAATACTCTTAATCATAAGTTCTGTTTCCCCCAACTTCACATTGTTCTCTGAAATTCCTTGAACTGTAATTGAGAAGACCAGCATTCTTTACTGTGGTCATTGGAACTGTCCCTGCTCAGTTAGACTGCAACTGAGTTCTTAAAATATCACTTGTCAGTAGACATCTAACTCAATAACTTAACTGTGGCTCTGTCTTTCTGTATTTATTCAGGTTATGTTTTCATTCTTTTAAGTAAGTTACCTCACTATCTAATTCAGAAGCAGTCACTGATTTTCAGTCTGTTGTTTCTTATCTATTAATAACTTAGCACAATGCACTTTTAAGATGCTAATGTCATATACTGTAAAGACATTCCTGCCAGCACTTTATTTTTCTTTATGATGGCCTTGTTGTGGGAAAATTAGTTTGAAATTCCCACTGTGGGGAGCCCCTAAAGGGCCAACTCTCTAAAGGAGGGGTGGGAAAATCTACTGTCTCCATGTTGGTCATAGCAGAAAGATTTGTAGACTTATGCTCAGTCAGTTATGGTCAAGTCTGACCCTCCTATGTTAGTTATCCCAGATTAAGACACACATTTCATATTGTACACAGCTCAGTGTGTATATCAGTGTGTGTACTGAGCTGTGCTCACATTGTGGCCATCACTTTAATTTTATTAGTTTTACCCCAGGAACATATCATACCTTAAGTATATAATCCTTGAGACTTGAAACTAATTTAATATTTTTATTTTAAATAAAAATATTTGTCATTTTTTTCAATCATTTTAAGGCCTGTGTTCCTAAACCTAACACCTGATGAGGTAGATGGTTTATATATAAAAGGAAATGAATGCCATAAATTATAACTTACTTGAAAATGTCTTGAGTGACTTATTTCCTTTTTATTAATTCAAATATCCAGTAAGCATTTTAATTAAAATCTGTTTTCATATTTTTTTATTCTAAAGGAGTACTGAAAGTTTACAAAAGCATAATCTGCACACACATAGACACATAACACACAGACACACACAGATATGCACATACAATACACATAATACATATACATACAGACATACACACAGACACACAAACATACATGCATATGGCACAAACACATACATACACAGACAATCACAGAGACACACACACTTTTTCATTAATGCTTTTACTTCTTGTAAAATAATATATATTAATTTCATTCTATTGTAGCATTGTGCTTCTTCTGGGACAAAAACAGGCACTTGAAGAGTTGAAACAGTCAGTCCAGCAGTTGAGATGTGCTGAGGCAAAGTGTGCGGCACAGAAAGAATTACTGGAGCAAAAAGTACAAGAAAATGATGGGAAAGAACCACCTCCGGTGGTAAATTACGAAGAAGATGCGCGGTCAGTCACATCGATGGTAAGCTCTGCAGCCGTCAGGCGCAGAAATAGAAGTGTCTGGGTAGTAAGTGAGCACAGACCTCGTTCTGATTTGCTGTAACAGATTATTACTCTTGTTGACATGCAGGTGCTATTAGACTTATTTGTAAATGCAGAATAGACTTACCTGTCAGTCACCTCAGAGAACACTTCAGGACTACCCATAGAGTCAGAGGACAGAAAGCTCTTCTCTTGTGTTCAAAACTGAAAGGACAGACTGCAGTTGTTTTTATTCCTGGGAGACGGCAGGAAGGTAGGGTATCATTTAAAGATAGCAGTAAGAATAAGGAGAAAGCTATTCGTTGACTATTTCTTAAGAAATTGTTTGCCTTAGATTGATAGTGTGTTTATTTTTTGACAGTATAAACAACTGATTTAGCTTAAAATTTTGCTTCTTAATTTGTTCAAATTTATAAACTTAAAATTTAATTTAATTTTAGTTTTATTAGCTGCTTAATGTCTACTATATGTATGTCAGTCTATCTATCTGTCTATTCATCCATCTGTCTGTCTACCCACTTGTCTACATAATGTATCTGTTATCTGTGTTGGTAATTATTAGTAGGGAGCAGTTTTGTTCACTGGGACATTTGGCAGAACCACTAGATACTACCAAGAGCTTGTTAACATCTACTGTGCACAGAATAGTTTCTTGAAAACTGTCCCAGTGAAAACTGTCCAGGCCAAAATTTCAGGAACGCAATGCCTAAGAAGTCCTTTGCTATATCTTTTTTTGTTTTCTCTGGACAGCTCAATGTATGCTATGGATGGAGGTATATAGTTGACATTTTAGTAATTTTTCAATTTATGTAATCTTAGTACGTTTGTGTTATATAAAAATTATAATATATAATAATTATGATTTATAAATAATAATATATAAACAATATAATAAATGTAATATGTTAAAATAAAACTAATGTGTTAAATAGATTCAAATGTCCCCACAGGTCATTTTTAAAACTTCAATAACATAGAAATGAATTTACAGTACTGGAATATTATAATTATTGCTGCTTTTGTTATTAATTGAATTTTGCTGATATACACAACACTTTGCAAATTGTAGCTTGTTTTCCAGTCAGAATCTGCCATGAGAATATTTCTTCTGCTTTATGATTCTTGATACCTATTGGATATACATATTTATTCAAAGGAATTCACATTTTTTTTCTGTCACTGGCCTTTGAGAACTTTTATCCTTCCTTTGGTAATGATTTGTAATATTTCTTTGTCTGCATGTGCGTGTGGAATTGGCTACTTAATTATTAGTAGTTTGACTCTCTTAGATTATAATACTTTATATAATTAATTTTAAGTAATTTAATATGCATATAACTTATGCTGGTACTGTCATAGTGGAATAAAAAGTAGTTATCCAAGTGACTGCATAATTACTATTTCCAGTGGATAGTGATTTTTAAGCTATCAGTTAAAAATCCTTCCTTTAATAATTTGTAATCCTTTAGAGTTTAATTCTTGTTATCAAAGAGATTTATTTATCAACTCAATTGAATAAGCAGTGTTTCATAGAAAATAAATAATAAAGTTTAAGAAAGCAAACTGCTTTTTGATACCATCAGCCTCCTCTTACACTATTTATGTGATGATTTATAAGTGAAGATACTACCTTGTTAATTTTAAATAGTGCTGTCTGCTTTACTGTCAACAATTTATTTTCAGTAATTGATATATAATTTTCAATATCTCTATCTACTCATTGAAACAATGTCTTTAGTAAGTCTTTAATTAAAAATCAAATTTTTGCCATGTGTGGTGAGTGTTTTTTACCTCTAATTCTAGCACTTGAGTGGCTTAGGCAAGATGATGGCAGTTGGAGACATCGTGGGAAACAATGTAAAACTCCATTGCAAAACAACCCAAACCAAACCGAAATGAAAATTTAGCAAAGCTTTCATTGAAAAATTTGTCAGATTTTCAAAACGAAAACTGTATATTTTTTGTAGTTTAAAATAATAAAGTGAAATTTTGTAAATTATATAGGCTATCTCACAGATAGATTGATATTGATTAAATGTTTTATAGTATTTTTTTGGAAGAAGGAATATATCTGATGCACAGTTCTTCTTATTAATGTTCCCTACTTGTATTGGTGAAATTTCTGTATTCTTTAACTTTTTCAATTAATATTTATGATATTTATTTTCAATTAGTTGAAAATAATAAAAATTATAAGGCTTAAAAATTTTCCCAAAATGACTACTTAAGGCATTGTTTTATGAATAATATTTTAAAACCAGCTAGACTGTATATGAGGGGGAGGGGACTTAAGGGGTAATGGGGGAAGAGACAGTGTCATGTGTTTTTCACTTGTGCTAGATCCAGATTTAAATATAGCTATCATCTGTCTGTCTATCATCTATATCTATCTACCTATCTATATCTATGTATCTTATCTATATATTTTCTTCCTCCCTTTTTCCTTCCTTCCCTCTGTTCCTCCCTCCCTTCCTCCTTTCTTCCCTCCTTTCCGTGTGGTGGGAGACATTGAAGGAAAAGGGTACTATCTGAGGTAGGAAAAGGCCAGCAGGTAGGGCTGGAAGAGTGCACGCTCTCTGTGAATCGAGGATTTATATTGTATTGTTCTTCAGTTCTAGTTCTTGAGATGAGAACCGTGTACCTCTGAGTCGTGTTAGGAGCATAGACTCTGTGTAGTCTCCCCTTGCATAGCTACACAGACATCAACATTTTCTAGTAACCAAGTAAGCATAAGCTGCTGGCTTTACTGTTTATTTATTAAACACGTTTCTTTAGTGTGCTTATTAACCTTCTAGTTACATAATAAGTATTATTTTAGTATCTGTGAATTGAGGAATTTAAACTTCCTTTTCACACCAGAGTTACCTGTTTTATTTTATGACAGCTTTGGACTAAGTATAGTGATTTTTGATGAAAGGATCGACATGCATGTCAGGTCTATGTGTCTAGAGCTGATGGCAGCCACAGAATTGCTTTCTTCTTCCAAAACATGTGTAGCTTTCCTATAAGAGAATTGATTTCATTTTATATTCCTCCAATTGACATTTCATGTCAACCCTTTGATAGACTGAGACACAGAATGCATGTATTGTCTCTGTATATACTGAACCGCTGTTCTTAGTTGAGCAGTGGTAGTGATAAGCACTTGTGCTCCATTTCCAACCAGTGAAATACCTTTTAAAAAATTGCCTGTCATATGACCCAGTGCTATTCTGTTTACAGTAGTGTCTGATGTTTTAGTCCTAGGAAAGAATACTAAACTTCACTGAATTAACGAAAGCACGCTGAGAGAATTGTTCAGAGTTTGCTGATTCTTACCTGTTCACTCATGCTTGACTGATATAAGCTGAATTCAGATCATCATGAAAACAGATACATTTCTTTTCTGGGTTTGTGTATATATAGACTTTATTTAATTGTTATCAATTTAAACATTTTAAATTGGTTTCAAGGATTTGATTCTTTTATAATATCTGGTAAAATTAAGAAAACACAGGATTAGACCTTTGCATCATCTTTTCCTGTACGATGCAGTGAATATTTTTTATCATCTTTCACTTGTATACTTGTGTTCTTATGATAAAAACTCATTTAATCAGAAAGAGTCTTAAGCAGACACATAAGTTAGGAGTGAAAACCATGAGTTTTTTTCTGTATTTTCAAGACATTAAGGCTATACAGATATGGTTATACAGACAGGTTGATTCAGATTTTCACTAGTGGTTTAACTTACAAACAGAAATTAATGCCTATGCATTTTCTAGCATTTGATGACAGCATACAATTTAGAGGTCTCATTTTAATTTAGTGGTTGCTCGTTATGCTTTAGAAAGTTGTGCCATGGAATTCAGTCATAATTGTTTCTATTTTGGAAGTCATACTATACTTTTATGATGATGGGATAATTAGTGTACGTACTTAATGTTTTCTGGTAGATAGAAAATAAAACAAACGTTGTCTATCCATATTAAGAAAAATTCTGGCCTTTTGTTTTTCATAGGAATATGAATGGCTAACTTAATTGTGTCATTTCTTATGGGTTTCTTGGCTGATTTGTAGGAATATTGCCTCTTTCCTACTTCCCTAACGCAGAAACAGTTGTGATGGTGTGTCAAGCAAGATGCATAATTTGATCGGGATTAGAGCGTGTGAGGTTGTCCCAATGTCCATCTCAGTTTCCCTAGAGTCTATTAGCTGAGTGGCTGGAGGAGTGAAAGTGCGGTTGCTCAAAAGCTTCAGATTTCTTGCCAAGACAGCTAAGACAGAGCATGACTGTGTGTAGGAGTTTAAAGATCACAGGGGCATGTCACCACTTTGGGTGACTCAGCTTTTGTTTTCAGTGCTTAGTCAGACTCTTTTAAGCTGGATTCAGTGGTGCTTGCTGACACTCCCAGCTACTATGGAGACTGTAATGATGATAATGCGAATTCAAGGCCAGCTGCATCACTTGACCCAGTCCTACCTCAAAAGAAAACTAAACAGAAACCTCCCAGGTCCCCCAATTTTGTTTCAATACCACTTCCCATAGCTGAAAATTGTACAGTGGATAATAGATATTTTATATTTGTTTAGAGATAGATCTATGACATTAGAAACATTTACTGGTCAATTCCTTAGCTGCTTTTTTTTAATGAACATTTCTATCTTTAAATTTTTGGGGGAATATTTTAGTATTAAAAATAATTGTTATCCTTGTGGGAACATAGTCTCTATAAAATTATTCTAATTTCCTCGTTGTCAGGATTAAAAAATGTTAATGATGGTGACTGAATGAAAAATTTCAGTCTTATTTTTTACCTTTGACTTACAGTTTTATTATGTATTTTACTTAATGTGTTATTATTTCTATTTAGTTATTAATTTCACTTTATAAATTTCTTTGTTGGATATATAGAAAATAAGTCTTAATGTCGATTTTAAAGATTTTCAAGATAAGTAATTGAAGAGCACTGAAAATTGCTATTTTATGAAGACATATTT